TATGTCAGTACGGCACGAAGAATCTGCTAAGAACATTTCTGGGGAAACAAGATTCTACAGTGTGAATTTTTAAAAAGTGATTTACATTTATTGTAAGCTGTCAACCCATCAAGTCTCATGCTGTGATTTTGGGGAGAACGGTTTATCTTTTGTGTGTAGCCATGAATCCTGCTTTAAGCTCAAACCTTAGCTCAGGCACAAATCAAAATGGAGAGGAGCGTTAGCTACACGTAGAATCACTTCTTGTGCTCTTTTAAACGCTGACCCAGGGCTGGAAGTAAATGAGTGCTAATGATCCCTCTGCCTTTTGTTTGTGGCTGTGCTATGACAAACGGTCGCTTGTCCTTTGTAGTAGGAATGTCGCTGCTTAGGAAGCAGAAGTTGTTCTGGCAAACACCAATTCCTGGACATCTCCTGCCCATCTTCCTGTCCCAGACCATCTGCTGGTGTCTGCTGGGGGTCTGGCCGGCTGATCTTGGCGCTCTTGAGCCGATTTGCAGAGGGTTCAAGCCCCCGGCTTCAATCCTAATTCTGGGTGCTCCTGAAAATCAGCCTCTGAGCCAGTCCAAGTTAGACACCCAGAGGCAGATGCTCCTTCTAGAAAAGTTGCCTGGGCAAGGCCTTTCCCAGAGACGCCTTGCCCCTGAGTGGGACAGCAAAAACCGAAGCCGAGGACCTCTGGACCACCTCGCCAAGGCTCTGGGTGAGCTCACCCTCCTCATTCCCCGCTCTCCCTTAGCTCCGTGCTTCCATCACCCTTGCGCTGCACAAGCCCTCAGGAGTCACCACCCCCCTCCTCACTCAGCGCTGCAGAAGACACTGTTGGGGTTTGAGAGCCAGCATTAAATTAGGTTTTGGAGGCTGCCTGGAGCGCTCTTTGGTCTCTGTATGTAACGAGGCCCCAGCTGTCACCCTGGGAGTGGTCCTTGGAGAACAAGCCCATATGTATGTGCCTGACCGCCCTGCGAGGAACACGTCAATGATCATGAGAAGATTGTTGTTGCTTTGCTGTGGTTCAATGCAGACTACTCAGCTGTTCGAATCGTTTCTACGTGCCCTAGTGAATGCCTTGGAAACATGATTTCATACGAGCCTGGGACAAGGTGAGAGGTCCAGCTTTGAGGCTGCTCAATCCGGAGATTCCCAAACTACAACCCACCTCAGAATGACTTGCCGTCAAGATCTAAGTGGTTTCTCACGCAAGGGCTGATCAGAGCTTGTGGCACTCCGAAGCGGCAGCGTCTGCCTGTGGTCATTCTGGCTGCTGGGTGCTCTTGGTGTCACAACCCAGAGACCAGCAGGTAAAAACCAATGCCGCAAAGTGCTCCAGAATCCATATGCACCCCCTTAATTAAAAGGAAAACAGCAGTAAATGGGGAAAAGGAACATCTTTCCAGAGCAGAGCACGTGGGTAATGTAACCGTGACACAGACACCCTCCCACGGGCTGCGGCTCCTACAAGAAAAGCAAGTAGCTGCAACAGTCGTCGGTGCTGCTGAGCACAAGCACGTCCGTGCGAGAGAGAGATATTTCAAGTGCTGACACAGATTTGGCTGATGAACGTGGTGCTGGCACACCGTCTCCTTTGAAACAGCAAACACGCCGCCGCAAAACGTGCTCTGCGGTGCTGTATCCGTCCCCGTGCGCTGCGAGAGTGGCTCCCAGGGAGTTCACCCCGAGAAGCGGTGCCGTTCCTGCGCAAGGGCTGGGGCAGACGTCAGGGCCCCGAGGGAAAGCCGAGTCCCCTGCCTCTCTTCAGACAGCTGGCTCGTGTGATGGTTCTCCTCCTCCTCCCCAGCCCTCAAAAAAAAAAGCCCAAGCAGGACGTGAACTGCAGTGAACATTCTAAGTCAGTGCTGTCTGAAAACCAAGGCTTTTTTTTTTTTAAGTTGATTCCAGTTAAAATGGCAATCCTGTAATTCCGGATGACCTGGCAGTGTCCACGGGGCAGAGGTCCTTGGCGATGCTGGCATAGACCCATTCAGAGCAAGGGGCTGGGCAATACATTCCTAAATCAATCTGGGTTTTTTTCCCCCAGATGTTCTTAAAGCCACATAAAAAATGAGAGTATTCCTTGTAATTCCAGGTGACCTGGCAGTGTCCATGGGGCAGAGGTCCTTGGCGATGCTGGCACAGACCCATTCAGAGCAAGGGGCTGGGCAATACATCCCTAAATTAATCTGTTTCTTTTTTTTCCCCAGGTGTTCTTAAAGCCACATAAATAATGAGAGTATTCCTTGCAATTCCAGGAGCAGAGTCATTTTGTCCTGGCCTGCAGCTCCCTGCCTGCCTTGACAGAAGGCTGCGCTCTCTCTACAGCCAAGGAGCAGCGCGTCTTGGAAGGTGGTGTGGTGCTGCAGGGATGGGGCTAGGTTTCGGCAGGACAACGAGAACACCCACGTAGGTGAGTGAACTGAATTTGTGGCTCTGGCCACTGGAGCACCAGGCTGGTTTTATTTCCAGGAGTTATTCAGGGGGAAAAGAAACTGAACTGAATACATCTGATGTCTGGGCCGCTTTCCACCTCTCGGGTGCTCTTGTCCACAGTTGGGTGTGCCAGCTGGGACCCACGTGCCACAGCTCTTGCTGCCTGCAGCTGACGGTGCGAGGCATTGCTTTGGGAGAAACACCGTGCTTCCCTCCTGGGGCTTGTCCAGCCCCCACAGCAGGTGGAAGAGGGCTAAGTGAGCAGCGATGCTGCGAAGTGTGCCCTGGTTACCCCCTTTCTGCCATCCCACCTGCAGATAAAACCATGTCCAAAAGTGGTGACGCCAGCGCGATGTCCCATCTGGGACACCCCAGGCAGCGATAGTATGGAGCCACGGGCTGGTCGTGCCCTGCGTGTCCATTCTGCCCCAGGCCAGCCCCAAAACCTCTGCTCCAGTGAGGAGAGAGGACGTGGAGGCTGTAACCTGCCGGGACTTGCATGGAAACCCCGCGAAGCGCCGACAGACGGACCCTGCTCAGCCTGGGGGCCACAAAGCCCCAGCTTGGCCGGTGCTGGCGGTGCCCATGCTCTGCTCCGGCACGCGTGGCTGGCCCTGGGGGTCCCTGCCTCTGCTGTTGGGCACCTTTGCTGCTCCCCTCTCCCAGGACCCTACAGGCCATTAAGATGATCAAGGGATTGGAGCAGTTGTCATGTAAGAGGAGGCTGGGAGAGCTGGGACTGTTTAGCTTGGAAAAATGAAGGCTGCGGTGTGGTTGCTTACCCGTGTCCATCAGCTCGGAGGAGGTGGAAACTCCTTCCACCGCTGAAAAGGAGTAACCTGCTCTTCTGGTGAAATCAAAGACCACTGTGCTGGTGGCCGAGGTGCAGGCAATGCCAGAAATCACAATTAATTATGCATCGCGAGACCCCACCACCACCCTGACCCACGGCTTACCCTGCCCCTGGGCAGCGGGGACGAAGAAACACCCGCACAGCGACACCGTCACTCATTAAAGGTCTGGTTTTATTTCTGGTTTAAAATCAAAATTAGTTGTTCTCTGTAATTACATTATATATAGATTTATAGAGACATTATAGAAAAGAATTTTTTGCTTTTGTTTTTCTGCAAAAATCTGTAAATAAAAAATAAAAACAAACAAACAAACAAAAAAGGTGGCAGCTTCTGTCTGTCCGTCTGTCCGTCCCTCTGCCACTCCTCCTGCCCCTGCCCTCCACGGTGCTTCCCAGCAGACCAGGAAGGGCTCTGGGCCAGGGCCACGTCTCGCTACGCTCCCTCCAACCACAGCCGGGAGGGACAGGAGCGCGTGGAGCTGGAAAGAAGAAACGCCAGCAGAATATATTAATATCTCATATTTTGTTTTATTTAAGTCCTGGGAGGGGCTCCAGGTGGCAAAGGGCAGCAGTCCCCAATGGCCCAGGCAGCTCCTGGACAGAAACGGCGTGGGTTCCAAAGTGCAGGTCCTCCCGGGACAGGACAGAGCCCTCGAGCAAGGGGAAGGCGAGAGGAGGCAGAGCAGCCCAGCACGTGTCCCCGCAGCTGACGAGGGGGCAGGAGGAGTGGGCTCCCCGCGTAGTTTAAATAGCAATCGGAGGGTGGGGTGTGCGGCGAGTCCCCCCGGCCCGGCCCGGGGCTGCGGTCGTGGCACCCGGTGGCAGGGG